ACAGAAGGAATTGGCCATGAAACATGGCTTTGAGCCACAGCCCTACCTTTTTAGGGACCCAGCAGAGCTTAACGGGCCTTGCACTGAAGGAATTGCCCATGAAACATGGCTTTGAGCCACAGCCCTAAAGGGAAAAAAGAAAAAACTGGAGCACAGGGATTTGAATACAGACTTTGGCTTGGTTTACTAGAAAGGCAGCAGCTTTTGCCAGGAGTTGGGCCTGGGCAGGACTGGGAACGCCAGGGGGTTTTGCCTGGGCAGTTGTTTGAGTGCATCTCAATGCAATTTGGGATAAAGAAACTACTTAAAAGGAATTTCATGTTTAGATATCCTCCCTCCTTCCTCAGGTCAGGAATCTCTATATTAATGCACTAGGCTGTGCCCTGGCAGCTCCTAGTTGTTGTGCAACAGGAAAAATACACTTGGGCTTAAAACTCCATGGAAAGGAAAGCCCTGGGACAGCAGCTGATGGGAGTGTATCCACCTTTGAAGGATTTAAGTTTCTCTGACTTTGCTAACTGCCAGCAGACAAGTATCCTAGAAAGCAACCGGGAAACAAAGCAAAGCAAAGTTCTAGAGACTTAGCTGGGACGCATCCATTCCTTTCACTACCTACTAATTACCTTCAAATATTAGCCAGTTCACTGTTACCACCTCCCCATGAGCTGGGAAACAGCCTTCTCCTCCAACAGTACAGGCACAAAAAGTCCAGCAACTCACCCAAGGTTACACATAATCAGTCACCATCAGTTAGAGGGCTTCTCTGACAACCCAGGGACCCCTGTTTATCTCCAGTGGGGTTACAGAGCCACATAACCCTTTGAGAAGGCTACTAGGCAAGTAGCAGAAGTTAACTTGAGACAATGTTTGGCCTGGGCACACATGGCCAAAGATGCTGCAGGAGGCTATACCAACTCCTAAACATGGACACACAACTCCAGTTCCTCCCCTGCTGCCACACCAGTGTCCCAGCCAGCTGCCTGAAAGCAGCATCTTCCCATACCTTACCCCCCCCCAACTCCAGAAGGAGTGTGGAAAACCAGTGCAGGGGAAAGGAAACAAAAAAACAATCATAACAAAACAAAACAAAAAAAATCTTGGCCGATTTCCCAGGAGCAGCAGTGTCAAACCTGGCTGGCCTCCAGCACAAGTAAATACATCTTACCAACCTGCGTGCCGCCGTTCAACTCTCTGGAGCTCTTCACACCTCCTTTGGGAAGCCCCCACGCAGCACCATCACCCTGCAGCATGTTCCCCCCAGCCCCGGACAGGAGCCCATCTCCCCCCAAGTTTGCTCTAGGCTCCCAGTATTGTCCTACAGAGCACTTACAGCCCAAATCCTCAGCCAGAATTAGCTGACACAATTCAGCTAGGGGCCCTGGTAATGAGCTAATTTATTGCAGCTGAGGGTCTGGCTCACTGTTTTGGTTTTTTTTTTTTTTTTGGTAATTGCACAGAAGAGGTTTAATTGCACCATTCTGGTGTTTGTTAGCAATGGGCTTGAAAGAGCTGAGCATTTTTGTATGCCTCTTTCAAGATCTGTAGCAGGAACAATCTGCTCGTTGGAAGCCCCACGGTTTAGATTCCATAACCCAGTTAACAGCGAGGAAGAAGAGGCTGTTCCCTCAGTGAGGTGCAGCAAGAAAAACTTGAGTTTCAGGCCACTGCCTTAATCATGGGAGATCTCTCTGCTGGAGCACAGGTGACCTCATTGACCATGGGAAAGTATCATTGAATCACAGAATCACATGGGGTTGGAAGGGACCTCTGGAGATCATCTAGTCCAACCCCCTGCCAAAGCAGGTCCACCCAGAGCAGGTTGCACAGGAACTTGTCCAGGCAGGGTTTGAATGTCTCCAGAGATGGAGACTCCACCACCTCCCTGGGCAGCCTCTTCCAGGGCTCTGCCACCCTCAAAGCGATAGAAGTTCCTCCTTGTGTTTCGGTGGAACTTCTTATATTCAAGTTTGTGCTCACTTCCTCTTGTCCTGTCCCTGGGCACCACTGAAAAAAGACTGTCCCCATCCTCCTGACACCCATCCTTTAAGTATTTATAGGCATTGATCAGATCTCCCCTCAGCCTTTTCTCCTCTAGACTAAAAAGACCCAAGTCCCTCAGCCTCTCCTCATAAGGCAGATGCTCCAGGTCCCTAATCATCTTTGTAGCCCTCTGCTGTCCCCTCTCCAGTAGTTCTCTGTCCTTCTTGAACTGGGGAGCCCAGAACTGGACACAGTAACCCAGAGCTGGACACAGAATGAGTGAGGATGAGGTGCCTGAGTGTGTTGCAAAATCCTGCTGTCCTCTGCTGTCTGTTCTGAACTTGTGGTAGGGGGGATGATGACATTCTGCATCATCACAAGGGGCTGGGAGGATAAATCAGAAACACTCAAACACTGTGGTTACCAGCACCTATGCCAAGATCAATGGTTTGCAGCCTAGAAGAGATAAACAAGAAATTGTTGTGAAACTGTGCCGTGTTCTAGTGACCACAGGATGGGGAGAGGACCACGCTGCCCAGACCGTGGACCTTTCTCAGTACTGGGGTTGTTGGCATTGAGGGCACCCTCACGCAGAGGGTCAGAGATTTCATCTCGTTTTTTATTTTTCCTACCCCAGCCAAGCTTTCTGGTGCACATTGCAGCTTTTGTGTTTATGAAAGATATGAATTAAAGCATCTGACATCTCCTTCTGTAAGCAGCAAGACCTCATTTTAATATGCTGCTTCCTGATTTCAGACAAAGAAATATTTGTGTAGGCCAGGGTGAAACCGGTTAAGCAAGAAAAAAAAATAAGGGGGGGGGCAGATTGAAAGAGAGAGAGAGAATCTCCAATCAAAGGAAAGCATGGCATGATTAATAAGTGAAGGCAATCAGTCTGTGGGAAGAGACTACCATTGCGTATCGTAATTCCTGGTGAGAGTGATGGCCGTATGATTTGTTCTTAAAAAGAAAGTGAAGCAATGCCACCGCTCTCCTCCTGACTCCCAGTGGTTTTGTTGTGCCATCTGCGGTGGTGATGCCACCAGCAGAGCCTGTACATCTATTTTTCATGCAGATATAACACTTTGCCTCTCGCTGCCAGGAGGTGTTTGCAGCTGAGCAGGTAGAGCCTCTACACGTCAGTAACGACTCAGCTCCACCTCCTCCTTCCAAGATGATGGACCCTATTCCTGGTCCTCAGCTCAGGGTCCATCAAGCTCATCCCAAGAGTGGGAGGGCTGTTACCCAGCCCAGCACAGGCAGCTCCTGATGAGCTTCCATGTGATATTTCAGTGGGCAATGTCTTTCTCTTGTCCCCCACCACAGCAATGTACTGGTGTTGCCCTGCAGACGGGCACTGACTGCCCCAAATCTGGCTCTTTACTGTGCAGAGGCAGCTGTGAATTCTGCCAAAGGAGGCTGTTGCAATTCTGTATACGATAAACAAGATCTTCTATAAGGGGCTATAAGCACTACGTGCCCAAGTGCTGTAAAAAGCCCATCAGGTGGGATTACTTATCACCAACAGCCCTTTTGGAAATCCAGTGTAAAATATTACATCTATGGCTATATATATATATATATAGCTATAGATTTCTATAATACATCTATTACATCTGTCGATGGACAGAAAAGGGCACATTTCAGTGCTATCCCAAGAAATTCTCAAGACCAAACAGAAGGAATTTAAATAAAATAGAAAATGATTCACTTCATAGCTAGCTTGGCTTTAATGAGTAAAAGCCTCCCTTGTCTGTGGACACTGCAGAAAGCAAGCTGGGGGAGGGGAGGCTGGAAAACAGGTTATTTCTGAAACAGAGAGTTTTTTGGGTTACTGTGAAGGAGGGTTGCACAGCAGAGCTCTCCCCAGTCTACTGCTAGTGGGGGGTCCCGGCTTCCGTGCCTTCTTAGGGATAATTACCTTACTGTGAGTGAGCTTGTGAAGCAGCTGCTGGTTTGATGTCAGGCAAAAAGAAAGGAAGTAGGAGAAGGAAATGAAGTAGGAAGTAAGATTTCCTGACGAGTGTATGCATTGTAGCCCTCTGAGCTGCTCTGGGTCAGGCAGTAATAAGGGAAGAGGTACCAGAGAAACTGAATTGTTGTACGGCAGCAATTCCTGGTCCCAAATCCACCAACAGCTGGATGTGGAGCTGAGATTTGCAGTTTGCTAGTGGGTTGATGCAGAGCTTTCACGCTGGCTCTCGGACCGGCGTGAGCCAGAAGTCTGCACTGTGAAATACTAGACTCAGAAAAACAGTAAGGAAACCTGGGGGCAGATCTTCCAACTCCTGGAGATCAGCCTTTCATAACCAGAGACTGCTCTACCATGTTACCGTGTGAAATAATTGTGATGGGAAAACAAGTCGCCTTTGTCAGGGTGCAAAAAGCTCATGAAAAAAGCTGTCCCCCTCTCCTTTCCCTTTACAAAGAAGGTAAGAGTTCACTTAAAGAAATTACTTCACAGCTAAAACCATACAGGGAGTGAAAAAGATCTCCAGTGCCTCATTTGCTCTTCCTATCAGTACCTGCTATTGGTCACCGGTATGTGTGCAGAGAATACCAAACAGTTTGCAAATTGCTTGTTGCAACCCAAAATTCACTTAAGCCTGTAGAAAGAGAGATTTCACTTTTTTTTTTTTTTTGCTGGTTCAGAATACATTTAATCAGAGGAAATATTTTAGCCTTATTAGTGTCTATCATGCATACAACATACATTTCTCTGTGTCTGTATGCAGGTAATCACTAAAAAAATTATCTGGCTACGTGTGTTGTTTTCTATCTGTCTGCCAGATCAGAACTCTGTGTGTATTTAGGGAGGACTCTGGGGCTGTGAAACTCAACGCCTCTGTGGTAGCAAAGCCTCCAAGAAAGCTTCATATAGCTCAAGAAAAACAAATTAGGGCTGCCCCCTCTCCACCACCTTCCTCTAGGCAGTTTTACATGTCACCTCCCTCAGGGGATGAGCTACACGCTGAGTTTTGTAGCCTCTTGCCACCTTCTGCTTGTTCTCTTTTGAGCAGGCAAGACGAGCCCACCTGCGGAGGACAAAGTCGTGCTCACACACATGAAGATACTGAGCGATGAAGGAATTCAAAACCCAGGGTTAATCCCAGAGGCTCCAGCTGACCCAGCCTGCACCCAGGAGTCCCACCTCCCACCGGACCACCAGGAAAACCCAAATGCAGCAGCGGATCCAGACTACCCAGATGGCCCAGCAAGCATGGACTATGTAGCCACCCTGCCTGACCTCAGCGCCTTCGAGTCCAAGTGCCGGCTCCACAGATTCTCCAAATTTGAATCTGAGGACTCAGGGGTTGAGTTGCCCAGCGGGGCTAATTCTCCATCGACGCCGACGGGCTCGGAGAAGAGCTTTGTGCTTCACAGCAGAGACTCGTTTTGTGACTCGGGTGTGCTTAGCACCTCCTCTTCTCCAGAAATCGACCACCTGATCATGAGAACATGTGAAGAGCACGCCAGGAAAGTCAGCCACCAAGATCCAGAGAGTGAAAAGCAAGCTGAGTACTACGGCCAGGAGGCAGATGCTGTGCAGGGTGCTACAGCTCCCCTTGAAGACTTCAGTGTCCCTCAGGAAGGAAGTCCTGGTGAACATTTTGACCAAAGTGAAAGGCAATCACTGGAAAAGGAACCTACCCCAGAGACGGACCTTCCCAGGGAAAACACTCTTCCCACCCCAGCTCCCATAGAAGAGCCAAAGACAATTGATGATAATTTCCCAGAGACCTTTGGCAGCATGCAAGACCTTCATCAGCTGAAGAAGTACCCCACCAGTGACAGTCTGGATGAATACATGGATGAATGCTGTAGACTGAGTGAGGTAAGAAACACCTAAACTGAATCTTAGAGCTAGGCCTGTCCAAATACCTCAGCCAGGGTTCAAGTCTTACGGTCTGTAAGATCTGAGGATTTTACAGTGAGTTAGAAATCCTCCCCTGAAATTGTTGTAAGCAGGAGATCTTGGCAATGGATTTTTAAGAGCTCTTTTCATAGCAGTGAAATCCTGAAGTAATTCATATATACTGGGGCTGGGTAAGGATGACTAATGGCTCATGGAGATCTGATGTTTCAAAAAACCCGAGATTAGAAGATGGACTTGATTCTGGTCTTAACATTAAGATTATGAAGATAGTCATCATCCTCTGATACATGGGAGGGGGATCAGAACATAGTTTGTTTTTCAAGGTCAGGTTATTCCTGTTCCTGGGAACAGCTGGACTGTTGTTGGGGCGCTGAAGTTTGGAAAGAACTTGTCTAAGGGGTAGCTCATTCCTGTCCAGGCCTGTCCTGTCCTCTTGACCCAGCTCTCTCAAATAAGAAGTGAGCAGGGGATGAATGACAAATTCGAATCTTTGCTGGGCTGGAGCTGGGCTGGGCATGGAGACCCCACCAAGCACAGCTGTGGTGGAAACTCCTGTGTTCTGAGACTGACTGAACTTTACAGACGTAATATTTTCAGCACTTCCGCCCTTGCTGGATACACTATGGGACTGACAGGAGAATAAAAAGCCCTTCTGTTGGCCTTCTACCATACTGGATGCTATGAAACCTGATCATTGCCTGCTCGCTGTGGTGGCTTCCATGAACCAGTGACAGAAAGATCTAACTGGGAGAGCTGATTACAGAATCACAGAATCACATGGATTTGGAAGGGACCTCTGGAGATCATCTAGTTCAACCCCTCTGCCAAAGTAGGTCCTCCAGGGGGGTTGGACTAGATGATCTTCGGAGGTCCCTTCCAACCTCATGTGATTCTGTGATTCCTGATAGAGAGACAGCCCAAAAAGCCCCTTGACCAAAAGGAAAGGAGGAGGCAGGCTAGATTGAAGAAGGTCACGCAGACACACCAAAGGGTGCATCACAGGGATTTCTTTTCTGGGCGTTCATCACGGTAACAGTGATGAATTGGAATGGGAGGTGGGTGGGAGGAAGCCAAGTGACAAGTGCTGTGAGTTGTGCGTATAATTTCACCATGACCTCTCTGCCTGGGCCCTGAACCATCAGGCGATGGCTTTCCTCTCCAGCATGCCAAACCCTCCCGAGCAGGGAGGAATAGGTCAGAGACGGCCCATCTTTGTTAACACTGCCTATCGAGGCATCACAAGCACCACACAGTCCAACGCAGCAACCTCTCCCTCCCCAGAGGTGTCTCACACACAGCAGATGTCTATTTTACACCGTTCCCAAACAGACAGCAACCCGGCTTTTTGGCAGAGTTCAAAAAAAAAAAGGACCGGAGCAGGAGAGTTTGAATACAAGGAGATTTTTTTTATAAAGTTACCTAAATTCTCCATCGTGCTCCAGAGGGTTTGCAGCCAGCTTGGTCTTGTCCAACAGCTCTGGCTGCCCATGAAATTCCTTTAAATCCTTTGTGAAATGGAGCCTCAGTTTCCCAAAGCAGAGCATTTAAATAAACAAGAGAATAAATTAGAAAGGAGCTGAAGAGGAAATGAAGCTCTTGGTGGCTTATCTCCCCTCCTTTTTAATATCCTCACTGGCTGAGTGCTAAAGCTCTGTGCCCCGGAGCGCTTTTCTTTGTTTGTTTTTTTGAGCTGTATAAATACAGCTGGACTGAGATGCTGGGGAAGTTTTTGCCCCTCTTCACGGAGCACCTCCAGGGCTGCTGCCTCTGGAGAGCAGCACTCTTGAAACCTGTTTGGGATGCCAGGTAGCACCCAGGCTGACTGGGGCAAGAAATGTCCCTGGCTGGTGCAGAGCCCCGGGGCTGGTGCCACAAAGTACAAGGACATCCTCATCCTCCTGCAGCTGCTGAGCCTTGTGCCACCTCCAAACCCACACAGGGCTGACCTGTCCTCACTGTCCTACAACAGAGGCAGGACAGAGTGAGACCCACTCAGAAATGATGTCCAGATGATCATCTGCCCACAGGACCGATGGGTGCATCGTGGTCCACTCCGGCTGAGGTTCTGTCCCAGGCTTACTCTGCGGTTGTTATATTTGCCCTGTCCAAGATACAACGTGGTACTTAGGAACCAGCCTCTTTTCTGGCCTGATGTCATCTCGGGGACTCAGATACCCCTGGAAATGCAAGCAATATGGTCTGAAAGACAGGGGGCCAGTACAGGGCATTCCCACGCTGCTTGGCAAAGAACGTGGCAAACCAAATTGTTCCATCAATCCAATTTCCAGTGCATTAAATTCACGTTGACAGAGATGCAAGAGTGCTTACATTGGCTTATATTAAATGCCAGGTGAGAGCATTATTTAATTATAGGTGACGGCAGCTTCCTCAGTTCTCTGGCTGGTTTTGGGAATCCAACTTGCAAGTAAGAGGGGAGCAGCTGAGGTTCCCCAGCCTGGCAGGCTGTGGCAATGCCAATGGCACCCTGCTTCCTGGCACACCACAGTCGAGCAAGAGGTCAGTCTCTGGATGAGGATGTCCCTTGGTGTCCTCCCGGCCTCCCTCGCTGCTGAGGCCACCTCCAAGAGAACAGGAAGGAAACTGCTGAAAGAGAGAGATTGAAAATGACCAAATGTTTTGACCATTAGGATTCATTTGGTGCCTGGCTCTGGCTGAAAATATACATCAAATCGTTTCAGTCTGGCGTTTCTTAAACAAAGGTTTCTGATCTTTTGTTTTGAACTGTCATTATTTTGACATTTGCCTACGTTTAGAAAGATGAAAGAAAGTGGAAGCTGTCAAACAACAAGTGAAAGAACTTTGAAGCCCAAATAAAAGCGTTTCCTTTTAAGCCAAATTAAATGTTTGGGGTCAGTTTGAAGATACACAGCTTTTGATGCTTTTGCTTTGCAAACACTTCCTCACCCTCCATGAAGTTTACATTTAAAGTCAGCCCATACCCCTAGAAGAAGACAGAGGGTGGGGGCATTGTCGTCATTAAATAGGGAAAAAAAACCCAACATTATTTACAGAGTAGTAATTATTTTGGGCCAAAGCAGTCAAAATACTGCTCTGCCAGAGAGGGGTACAGTTGAGGGGAAGGATGGGGCAACCTGTGATGCTCAGCCCCGTAGAACGTGCGTGCCGTTCGGAGGAAACCAGAAGCTATCAGTAAGGGCAGCCCCTCCTGGAGAGCAGGGTGGAGCCGTCAGAAATATACAGCACGATCCCTCTCTTTCCTGTTATTCACAAGCCTTTTGGTGCTGTCAGCTTCCAGTGACAAATGCTTCCCGCTCAGCCCGTGGCGTCACTAATGGGTTGCTCCGAGCCCACGATGGGAGGGTTGTGATTGCATCCCATGGCTGTTGGAGCAGTGACCCTGCCACCGTAGCACGGCCAGTGTAGTCCTGAGTAACATGCTCTGACAAGCTCTAGGCAATCTTGCTTTAGCAGGGGAGTTGGACTAGGTGATCTCTATGGTCCTTTCCAAGTCTACACCTTCCCCCACCCTCTTTTTTTTTCTGGGGACCTGTATTCTCAGGAGTTGGAAGTCCTCTCTCACTATTGCTAAAAGCCACATTTTCTCCATGCCTGCCAAAACCACCTTGGCTTTCGAGTGCCTTCAGCCCTAGGCACACAGCACTGGAAATCTGGGCCACCTTTTCTTCTCCTCCTCTGCCTGTTTTGCCTGCGAACACAAAGCAGGACTTTACAGTGTTAAGAACTGGAAAATATGGAACATAAAGAGGGTCACTGCCTGAAAGAGATGACACTCAAGTGCTCTCCCCAGTCCTGAGGTTATAGCCAGATGTTTTACTTTATGCTGTTGTCCAAGAGCTCTTCTGTCCCTTTTAGTCTTCCGTGGTGTTTCTACAGCAATGGAAAGGGGTTGGATTTGGCTCACTGTCTCCACAGGGCAATACAGACGTGCCATCAGTCACTGGAACAGCAAACTGGCGGAAAGGGAAGTTGTTAAATGTGCAAAAAGATGGTACAGACTGGCAGAAAGCCTACATTTTCAAGGGGAATGAGGAGCTTTTGAATACCCATTTTGGGACAGCTTAAAAAAACCCCAGATTTTCAGAAGCTAATACTCATGTACTTTCTGAAAAATCATGCTTCTGAAGCTGGGCACCCCAAAAACCCTAGCTCCTTTCAGATATGTTGGTTATAATGCTTAAAAGATTTTCCCAGCAGGCACCACGTGGGCTTTGTTCTCCCTGTGGGTCCTGTGGCTGCCCCTTTGCACTGCAGAGAAACACTAAAAACTCAGCTTTATGGCCGAGTAACCTTTGTTTTGCCACCGCTTCTGCAGGCTCTGCCCGAGAGGAAAATAAAAATCATGAATGTGAATGACTGGTTGGCTCGGAGTCATATGATTTCATGTGACCTCTGTCCCAACCTCAGACACAAAAGCATCTGGACATAATAATACCTGTTTATAAATAACATTGTATCATCATTTGTTTAAAAAGAAGTAAATCCTAGTGTTGATTATTTTTGAACACACCATGAGCTTTCTGACATAATGAAAATACAGGAAGAGTCCCAAGGCTGGCATTTCCCCAAAAATGTAGATTGTTGTGGGAAAGGAGACAGAGTAAGCTTCCTGCTTTTGTAGAGGGAACTTTTTTTTTTTTTGAAGTAAGATAAACTTAGAGCACTGCTTTTGTAAAGATCGAGGCTTATTTTACTTACTGCTATCACACGCACACCGGCAGGCAGGGCCAAGGTGGAAGCGAGCCCAGGCAGGGTTTGAATGTCTCCAGAGAAGAAGACTCCACCATCTCTCTGGGCAGCCTCTTCAGGGCTCTGCCACCCTCAAAGTGATAGAAGTTCCTCCTTGTGTTTAGGTGGAACTTCTTATATTCGAGTTTGTGCCCATTTCCTCTTGTCCTGTCACTGGGCACCACTGAAGAAAGACCAGCGCTATCCTCTTGACACCCTCCCTTTAAGTATTTATAAGCATTGATCAGTTCCCCCCTCAGTCTTCTCTTCTCCAGACTAAAAAGACCCAAGTCTCTCAGCCTCTCATAAGAGAGATGAGCAGGAGGCTGGAAAGCACCATTGCCTGTCCTCTGTCCATCTCCAGCTGAGCAGCAGTGAGGCTCTGCAGGCCCTGGGTGGGGAGACATCAGTGGTACAGGGCCATAGCCAGACAGCCAGCTTGATCCCACAGGCTGTCTTCAAGCATCTCCTCGTGGCTGGGAAAGCAGCAGCAGGGGATGTGAGCTGGGATCTGCTAAAGGCCAGTGGAAAGATGTTCTTCCAGCTCGGCAGCTTGGTTCAGGCACATGTCCCTTTCACTGACCCACCAGTGATGAGGGTCTGAGTTCAGCTGTGCAGTAATGGTTGTGGATTGGCAAAGGCAGACAAAATGTACCCCCAAGTTGGTCACAAAGGAGCAAATCACTGCAACCTGGAGTACTGCGTCCATTGCTATTAAGGATTGCTCTGTTATTACTCCGTGGTCCGAGCTGTATTGTCATTGCAGGTGAACCAAGGTAACAGCAAAGTCCTGGGGTCTGGTCTGGGGTACCTGGAACACATTTGCCAACTGATTGAGAAGATTGGGCAGCTGCAGGAGCACAACCTGCGTCTCCAGAAGCAAGTGTGCAGCTTGCAGAAAGAGCAGAAGATGAGACAGATCAAAGAGGTAAGCAAACACCACAGTATCTTCCATTAAATGGTATACTCAAGGCCCAGATGGAAAGTTCCCCGTTAGAGAAGATGCTGATTTACTGGACCCCACATCCACCTGGGCTGGGTGCTCTGGTCTTCAAGGAGCCCACAGTGGGCTCAGCTTCCCTTAGGGTGGACTTGGGTTTCTGTTCTTGTTCAGTTTTGTTTCCTAGATAATGCTTCCTTTTAGAGTTAAAAAGCATCCCTCTCACCTCATGCAATGGCCAGACTCAAAGTCAGGAGCTTTTACTTCTCCACAGTTGAAAACTTCCTAAGAACACATCAATGCTACCAAAACAAAATGTTTCCACGGGCCTCCTTAGCAATTGTGTTTTGAATTAAAAGCTCTTTATTTTCCTTCTGGTTTCAAACTGTCAGAATCTCAGGATTTCCCACAAAACGGTCAAAATGGGAAAGAGAAGCAATGGTTTCGCTCCCCAAATCCATGCTCTCTTTCCCTTCCTGTGCTTCTGAGCTGCCAAATGAAGCTCTGACATGAAACTTCTCAGCGTTTCCACTTTTTTTTTTTCTTTTGTCAGCCAGAACTAGGTGTGGAATTTGACTGAAATTTGTACATCATTTCAGTGTCCACCTAAACAGCATTTTTTTTTTAGCCCCTGCGTATTTTGTTCGGCTCTACCCCACCTCTGCTTTTCAGTTCTTTATCTTTGGCCATCAGGCCACGTTCCCAGCTTTTTTCCTTCCTTCCCTTTTTATTTATTTTATCGCCCCTGAAGGAACACAAGGGGTTTGTCACACTCAGCTATTTCTTCCCAGCCATGCTGTGGCGAGTCTTTTAATCTCCCGCCGGCGTCATTCCTCCCCTGGTGCTGCTCTCCCACCTGCTGGGACTGGATCTGCAGTAGGTGACCGACTCCTCCTCAGAGCCAAAGCCAAGATGTGAGTCAGGTTGCAAAGCAGCGTGGCCCGTCATTTCCATGTACCCATCTCTCACGCTCGGAGGAATGCAGCCTCCTACATAGAGCCTGGGAATTGTTAACACATTTCCTGAAGCTTTACAACTGTGAGTCATGGCTCAAAGTAACTCTTCCAAGCTGCAAATTCAGGGTCAATTCCTCATCTGGTGTTATGTGGCCCCCTCCTTCCCAGCTCCCACCGAAATGAAAGGCACCGTGCTTTCATTTCAATATTTGAAACTTTGATCTTTTTGGTATTTTCTAATATCTCTCAGCAGTGTCTTCTCAGCTGCCTTTGCCCCATGCTGTTCAGTGGGGAATTGGACCCCCAGATGTAACGTTCAGCACTTGCAACGTGCTCTACAAAACTGGGTGATCTCTCTTGAATATCCCTCTGGTGTCTGCATCTCTTATTTCCCTCTTCGGATTCACTGCCCCTCTCACGTAGAAGAGGAATGCTACTACCCCAGTTTGCCACGAGACATGGAGGTTGCCATCCACATCACACTTTGGAGGGGGTCCTAAGGCTACTTTCCAAACCGTGTTCACTCCCCAGGCAGACTATGAGCATGGAAGTGTTCCCATGTCCCAGATGTGACTAGAGAAGATGCAATCCTCAGAACAAAGATGGGTTAGTATGGTATTAAGAGCTGGTCATGAGGATTGTAGATGTCCAGTGCACCCAGTGCTGTTTTGAGAGCTCCACAGACATTACCACAGAAATGGATGACATTTCCAGAAGCACTCAGATAATGAGGGTTGCTGAAGCTGATGGAGCTGTACTGATTTATTCCATTAAGTACCAGGCAGTGCTGAAGGTACTTCGTCATTCACAGGACTAGCCTTGATCAAGCAGGAAACCTTAGAACATTTGGAAACCTTCTTTCATCATAACTCTTCTAAGCATGTCTTCGAAACATTTAATCTTTTGCAAAATGCTGTTCAGTTGTAGAGAACAGCTTTTGCTTGCAGAATCATGGATGTTTAAACAAAAAAACCCAAACAAAACAAAAATATAAAGGGATATATCCTTCTTTACCTTTGCTATGAACCTCCTGGATCTCACCATCTTGATGACCTTATGAAGAGACCTCCCAGATGTAACCACAGCAGGTGCTGCTGGGTATGGTGTTGATCTTGGGGCACAAAAAGAACGCAGTTACTCCACATCCTTTGCGTTACAAGGAAGTTTTTAATGCCCAGGGCCAAAAGCAGCATCTTTCATCAGATTTTCAAAGCACGACCCAAAGGTATAGGTATTGCAAGGCACCGTGCTGCTGTGGCAACATACCCAGATGAAACATTTACATTAAAGCTGTCAATTGCTTGGGTGTCTCCAGAGGCCAACAGCAATAAACAGCTTGGTGCCCTTTCCACTTCAGCTGGATAAAGGTCTCCTTGCTTCCTGCCCTCTTAAACTCTTGTGCAACGTGATTGTGCAAGGTACAAAATCTCCCCTCCCCACCATCCAGCAGCTGAAGTGCCACGTACAGAGAATCTCACCGGTAACATGTAAGAGAATTACGGCATCCCATCAATAAAAATGCAAGATACTGCTGTCTGTGCACCTTCCAAAACAAATAACATTATCTCAAAACGCGAGTCCCTCTTATAACAGATCAGTTTATTTACACAAATGCCTTAGCCAAGCAGCTCTGTGTTTAGAAGCTTGCATTCAATTCCTTCTTCTTGTATTGAATTCCAACTTATTAGGGTTGTTTCAACCCTAAAAGATGCTGAGTGTCAGGCAATTTAAGTTAAACACCAATGAAAAAAAAAAAAAAAATCCCATGAAAAATCTACCTTGCCAACTCCAGGCTCCTCAGCCTTTTAGAGTTAAATAATTTGCCTGGGTCCTGATGGGTCTCAGGACAAGGTTGGACATCGCTGGGCTGGGAATGATTGCAGGTTGTGTGTAACATCGCTCCGCACGGTTACCTGAGAGTGTCTCCATACTTTCTTCCTGTCTGGTGCAGGAGTATCTTCTCCAGCATTGCCACTGTGGAGCTGCCAGCGTCTTCCTCAACTCGTACCAAGATGTGAAGACGTTGTTTGCTGGGAGGAGCAGACCTCACAGCCTCTTGGTTCAGACTGGAAACGCTTCTGATCTTTCCATCATCCCAGAAATAGGAGCAAACACCGAAAAGCTGAGCAGCTGCAACGGTGAGTTCAAATACCTCTAACCTGCCCTCCTGCTTGCCACTGGCTGGTGAAATAAGTTGAGCAGCAACTTCTTTTTCCTTAGGAAAGAGAGATGGGAACAGAGCAAGGTGTTAGCGGTACTAAACCTTAGCTGGAAAGCTAAGAGATGCATTTTAACACTTCTTCATATGTGTGAAGCAGGACTTTTTGCTCTGCAGCTGTGGCTACAAAGATTAGGACAAATGCACTACCAAATGGGTCTCTCTTTTGGAAATTAAGCATTCCTGAATGGGCCCATTAGTGCAGCCCCTCCATGTGGCTTTAAAATCCGCCCCCAGCCAAGGTAGGATTTGATCTAAGATGGAAAGCCTTAAGCCTGTTATTAGTCTCCTGCCCTCCCAAGCAGGCACAGAACACATTCCTGGAGGATGACTTATTCTACAGACCAAGTGGAAATAAGCCCCAGCTGCAAAGCTTGGATCCAGAGACCAACTTTTCCAGAAGGCTGAGAAAGAGTGGGCTCAGCCTAGTGATGATAAAGCCAGCTGGAAAGTCTGGATCCAATGTTAGATGGGAACCAGCCCACTAAGCGAGGTTGATTAGTTTATTGCAAACCTTGGACTCCAGCCTGCCTCTAATACCTGGTGAAACACAGAACATGGACACACCTCCTAGCAGGATTGAGTCAAGAGTGTAAATGGCCTTTGGGATCTCTAGTGCTGAGACTCAGAAATGCTCTTTCCTGGCAGTTTCAGAGCAGGCCTGGAAGGAAAATAAGACCATGAGGAAGACATTAGAAAGTCTGCTGTGGTCAGACGCTTTATTGGAGCATTTACCTTCTTTCCACTGAAGTGTGGCATGAAAACACATGAGGTCTCATCCCACCATTAAGTCATAGAATCATAGAATCATTCAGGTTGGAAAAGACCCTTGAGATCATTGAGTCCTACCATCCACCCTACAAGTCCTTGGGTTCTCATCCCACCTGAGGTCACAGCTTGCTGGCAGCACTGCCCAGGGGCCATCCTAGCAGGACACTGCTGAGAAATGTGAGCAAGTCCTTGCGTTTCATTGCAGGAAGTGAGAGATACCTGGAATCGGGAAGCAGCCAGCCGATGGCGGGGCTCAGGAAGTCATCAAACAATAGGAACAACAAGGAGAATGAGTTCAGAGAAGCTGGTAGCATGGCTGAGGGACAGGCTTTTCCGTCCAAGGACCCTGCAGTAAGAAAGGTGAGTGATTTGCTTGGAGCCAGGCTTCGAGTGGGATCTGTGGGAGATGGAGGGAGAAGTTCTGCTCAGGCAGATCAGAGTGGGGTCCTGGGAGAACAAGCCAACTGTCTTCTATTGAATGAGGCTGGGGCAGTGAGATTAAACCAAGCACACATTCACTACCATCAATAAAATTTTTAACGCACCAGCCCTTAGCTGGTAACACTTATAAGAAGACTGGCAGCACATCAGTGTAATTAGCTCCAGTTCCTAAAGCATGTTTCAGGGAAACCATGCCACTGAAGTCCAAGGGAGCCAGGAGGAATGCTTTTCCTCTCCCTTTCTTTCCCATTGTTTGTGGCTGCCTCAGCACTTTCAGGTTCCAGTGGGGACCAGAAGTGCTGAAATGCCAGGGCAGAGGCTCTAATCAGAGTATTCCCAGCCCCACAGGAAAGAGGAAGGAGTAGGTCTGTCATGGGAAAGACCTTCTCATGAAATTTCCACCCCAGCGTTGCAAATAGGTTGCAAACGTTTTCGATGAACATCAGAAACCAATTCAAGGCTGAATCCTGAAAGGTGCTCCATGCTCTGGCTTGTGCCCAGCCAGCTTCTGGAGGGTGAGGGTTATTGTAAGCACTTGGGAAGCCCTTGTGGCTTCACAGGATGGCAGAATCGAGATCCACACTCTTTAAACTGAATCCTCATGCTCTCTTGTTACACCACACCTTAGTATTGTCACATTGAATTGCGTTTTGTACCCCGAGCATGAAATGCCCCATTTACTTCTACAGTCAGGTACTGTATGGGAATCCTGTTACACTAGTCCCTGGGCTACCAGGTGCTATACACAGGAGCTGGCTGTCTGTCTAAATACAAAAGAGAGGCGAGGGATGAAGGAGTAAAGAAGAGATTACCACATGCATGAGGGACTGGATGGTAAAGAGATAAAGGCCTTTACCAAGGCTCTGGGTGCACTGCAGGGCAGAGCTGAGAGCAGAGCCCAGTCTGTTCCCAGCACTGTGAGATAGATAGTCTTGCTGTCCTGGTATTTATCAACGTATTTGCCTTTTGCTTTTAGGGCGTGGACGTCAGCAAGAACATCTCGGTATGTATTGCCTTTGCAGAATATATTTAACTTGTACCTACATTATCACGGACCAACTGCTGAGGCTTCCAAAACCCTTCCACAGCACGCACCACACGTTAATCCTAGTAGCTAACACAAAGGTTTGATATTTCCATGAGCAAACAGTCTCACTTACGGGCGATTAACTCAATAGCACAGAAACCCGGTGTTGCAGTTTTCAGCTGAGCCCCTGACCTCATCTGAAGTTTTGGAACTTAGCGGAGCCCCAAGAAGAATTACCACAATTGGTTCTGCCTGGGCTGGTGCCTGGGGCTGGGCAGCAGCCAGGTTGTGCTCCCGAGGTGGCCACAAGCTCCTGGAGCAATGGCTCTGCTGGTGGCACAGCGGGAAGGCACCTTGGGACAGGGCAGAACAATGCCCCGAACGTGACAGCGGTTTGAGAACTTCACTCAAATGAAACGGGAATTGTTTCTCCCCATTATGCTAGTCCTGGGGCATGATCTTTTTTTGTTCTTTCCCCAAAGTTTTCCAGCCGTTACTTTAGGAAATTTAAAACATGAAATGTTTGGATGCGTGGCTCCTTTTTCAGTTCCTAAGGCCAGATGAGCTCAGCCCTGAGAGAACAAACATTAGTGTGGGAGGGAGGCCTCAGGAGACTCCCTGACCTCCTGATAATCTCTATTAGCATTTCAAATGTAAGTGCCCAATTGCTGTGGCTTGTGGACGTGACAGGGAAACAAAGGCTTGATCTCTTCTAATTCACGGTCCACAAAAGTCACCTCCTTGAAAAGGGCTGATAGCAAGGCACCTGGCCTAACAGAAAGGACAAGGGAGTCAAGCTGCTTTTTTTGGGGTTGTTTTTGTTGTAAAGGACCCCCTGGGCACGTGTGAGTAGGTAGGAAACCAAACCCATCTTTTCCTTTAGTGCAGCCTAACAATAAGGTAAAACGTGCCTTTGGGCAGCTACTCACTACTCACCAGGGAAGTGCCCTCACTCTCTGAAACCTTGTCAGAAAGAACAGCAGAGTCCTAGAAACCTTACCAAAAAAATACAAAAAAAGGATGGTATTACCGACAGCTGATCCATCCTGTCTGGCTGTGTCCTGTACAGGTCCAGGTTGGCCACTGGGAACCACTGCAAGGTGTTAAAAATCCTTTTATGGGACCTGATTCTTATCCATGTAAAATAGAGAAGCTTCCCTTTTCCTGCCACCCTGGTGTACCCCAAAATATCATGCCTTGGCCAGATGGGGTCTGCCAGCAGCTCAGCTCGCCTCTGCTCCTTCAAGTTGTGGTTTCTTTTTGCTCCCTAGGGTGAGAGCCATGCTTGGGGGAGAATGAAAGATCTGATTTGGAGGACACGGCTGAGAAACCAGAACAAGCTAGGGCTGTACTCTGCTGCTCTGAAGAGGTCCTGCCCACAGTTGTACAGGTAAGGCAAAGCTGTGGGAGATTTTCACTTAGAGTTGGGAAGAGGTGGTGGGAGATTCACCTCTGGGAGTTGCTGGCTGGAGAAGACCCTTCCTTACCTTCTCTCCATTCCATATGGTGGTCCTGGCCAACACAGCCATTTCCTTCTCTAGTGCCCAGGTGCTCTAAGGTCCCAACTGGATGATGTTACCTGTGTGAAGAATAATGGAAACATTAGGGTCCCTAAAAGAAGGTGCTTATCCCCAACAGGGCAAGGGGATGTTGACAATTAGCCAGAGCCATTCTGTAGCCTAATTATTTGCCTTTCTGCTCCCTCCTAAGCATTACAGTCAAGGTTAATGCTCTCCTCTATCCAGCTGCTCACCTTTCATCCAGTGGAACAGTAGCCCATAGTGCATCTAAGGTGTGATGGGACAGTCAGGATCAGCTGGAAGGTCTCCCGTCCGAGGAGGTGAAGTTTGCTGAGCATGTGGTCACAAGTGGCACCTGCTTGTTGCTGTGGATGAACGTGATGGGTCAAGTAAAGGTCTCATTTCTATTAAGAGATCCTTGCTGGTCCCTCGGGCAAGTTTGCCTACCAGGCTAGTTACATATGAATATATGGTTTACTATATATGTTTATACCATGTGGGGCATATCTGTCTGAGGTGACGATGGTGCTGCCAGCCACCCCTTGCACAGATATTCCCCATGTGCTTGCCAAGTCCTCCCAGCTCATCTGGTGAATTTGGGGCGTTTTTGCATGTAATCAGGTAACAGGAAAAGCCTGGGTACGTTACTCACCAGCGCAGGAGCATTAGGTGGAGCTGGGCTCCTCCTTATGTTTTTTCAGCTGAGATCTCAGCAACCTTGAGCCAAACAGCTCAAACGTGCTTAAACCCTCCTCAGGTTATAGAGGGGGTGATGGTGGGGAAACGGCAGTTGTTTAAGCACTCAGGAATGTCCCATTGTTCCCCTTAGACAGCCTGTACCTACCTTACAAAATGCATAAGGGAACTGGGAATCTTGTAATTACAGCTGCTAAAAAAAAAAAACAACCAACCCCTCAAACCCCTCTGTAGTTCATGGAGTGATTTTTCCAGCTGGGAAAAGCTTGGTTGGGGCCCAAGCACACGTAACAGGCGAGCTTCCTCCTATTGTCTGGGAAACTGAAAGAAACACAAAGTAGAAAGAGATCAAACAGTTCCATCTAAAATAGATGGTGAACCAGCTGGGGAAAAAATACAAACTCTCTCCTGAACCTTCCCTCTAAACCTGAATAGAACCAGGACTTTATTTGGGCTTCAGAAAAGTCCTGTCTCTGTAACCTCCTGCTTGGCCCTTTCTCTGCCGCGCTGAGGACCCTGCGTGAGAACCACGGGCTACATTGATGGACTCCCAAGGAAGGGCCAGCCCAATAGTTCCTAACAGAAATAGCTTTTGCTGCTTTCACACGTACACTGGACAACTACTACTGTACAATGAGATGCCAAATAGACAATTATTTTTTTTTTTTACCTGGCTGTAACTGGGCAGTCCCAGAGATCTTGTATGCTGATTTTTCCAGGCTGCTCTCTGTAGCTGATGAACAGCCTTCTCTTTTCTTTCACTAACTTTCTTTTCGTATATATCTGCATATAACCCTTGTTTCTACTCATGCCCCTTATCTCCCTCCATTTGCTCTTCTCCTTCTTCCTAGCTCCTGTTCCCCAGCCCTGTCTGTATTTGCTCTGACTCTTTTTTACCCCACACCCTGCAATAGCAATGCACTGACACTGGTCTTTTCACCAGTGCCTGGAAAAGCTGGGCACCTCGCTCCCATGGCATTTTGGAAATGTAGCTGCCTTCAGGCTCCTTTGAAATAAAAATTTAAACTTAGTGGATCAACGACAGCCCTGCAGCTGCTGCTGGACAGAAAGCCAGGTCCTTCCTACAGCAGCACCAAAATGGTAAAGCAAGAAAATCTTGCTTGTCTGCAGGCTCTTGGCAAAGCAAAACATTGAAGACTTGATACTTTCAGCATTTAAAGCCACTGTCTTTGTTATAATTTATGAAACATGTTTGTCCTGGCTCCTGGTCCTGTTTGTACACGCTGGTGTATGGAGTTGGCTGGCTTTTGCTTACCTGGGCTTCCTTGAGCCCAGAGACAGCTCCCAAAGGTCTTGAACTGGAGCAGGTTGGAGCCCGGTGCCCTGCGTTAAGGTACAGCTCTGAAGGAAGCAGAGAGTTGTTGCTTTTGACACCCAGTCCCACTTGAGTCATTTGGGCAATTAGAGAAAGCCTCTTTGTTTTTGTTTTTGTAACTAGGTCAAAGCAAATCCCCTTTCATGCTCCCACTCTGTGTATGATGAATGATCTGCTCCAGGGCGGTTGTTTTGTTTTTCTTTTCTGCCTTTTTTTTTTTTTTTTTTTTTTTAAAAAAAAACATCCACAAAAAGAATTCTCATAGTAGAGAGAGAACTGGGTTCTTCCAGCAGGAGAGAGGGGGCCTGCCAAGGTAAACATACTGGCACAAGACTGGATGGTTTGTCTTACATTGTTCTAAGCAGGCCCAGGTTTTCATTTCATTTTCTTTTCCCTGCTAGTACATTTATTCCCGCAAAGCAATGTCTGTTTTGTGCAGGGGGCCAGAACAGGCTGATGAATGACTTGATCACAGTGTTATGAATTTAAGCAGCGCAGGGACCTGGATCTTGCCTATGGCAGGAAAAGCAGATTTTTTTTCTTCCCTGAAATCATTGCAGAATTATCCCTCCAGAAAGGGCAAGGAACTGAGTTCCAGCTCGAATAACTCCTAAGATGAGAAGTTTTTGCCTTTCCACTCCGGCTGGTTTTAGTGACAGAAAACTGTTCTCAAATGATAGTGGAGCACCATATGATGAAATACTTGCCCTTGTTAGACAATTAAGAATCTGATGCTGCTTTGACCAGTGAAGAGAGAACCCAGCTTGGCTTGTGAAAGCTGGGCAGCAAGTTCTGTAGGAGCCTACCTTGACCAATTTATTGCCTGGACATTGCCACTCCATCTGACGCTATTAAATGTGTGAAGCTGTCTCTGGCTGGATTGCGTCACAAACAATCCCCCAAAATCCAGGTTCAAGGAGGAACACATTAGCACCTTTATGTCGTTTTTCCTTACGTTCCTTAGCTCCCTTTGAGGGCAAACAGACGGGATGTACAGTCTCCCACTCCTTGCCCTGACTGCTGCAGGGCAGCAGACTGGTCCAGCGGTTGTTCCAGCCCTGGTAGAGCCACCTCAACGAAAGCAATTGTGCTCAGGAGCTTTTCTGATGCTGTTCCCAACCCCTTTTCCAGGGCAGGATCTAACCTGGGCGATGCCAGCCTGGCATTCCTGTGCAGGAACACCCACCTGCCTTATCTGTGGGAGCTTTAATGCAGCTGCGTGGGAACCAGCTGACCTCAACCTGCGATGCCTTTCATGCTGAGGGTGCTAGTTTCAGCCTGATGGCCACCAAAAGCTTGCTGTTGTATGATGACAGCTTCGTGGTTAGGATGAAGTAAGTTAGGAAGGACTGGGCAGGTCTAACATCACAAAACCCCATCTTTAGTGTAGTCTAGCAAATGGCCCTAGGGCCACAGAGCTGGGGCTGAACGCTGCTCTTCACATAGGACATTACCACCAAGGGAGATCTCTGCAGTCGGGCTTGAGAAGCAGCCAAAGAATTAAAGGATAATATCAAGGCAGAAGTTTGACCATCTCATTTTAAAAGAATTGACAGCTGAATAAAAAAACCAACATAGTATACAACATTTAGTTTAAAAAGAAAACAGATTAGTAGCTGGCAAAAATAAAGAGCCTGTACCACATCAGTCAGGACTTTGAGCTGGAAAATTTTTTCAAATCAAAGCCTTGAAGTAAATATCTATTATTGTTATTTCAAGTAAATAGCTATTAGATATTTATTTTCTGTAAATAGCTTTGAAATACTGCATTAAAAAAAACACACCACCCCAAAACTACAGCTTTTCTTTCTTAAACAGCAGCTATTTTTAAAAAGTGTTCCAAAAGGTTTGTCTTTCGTAAGTCCTGGAGGCCTGAGCTAACAGCCATTACAACCAAACAGGATGCGTTACACTTACTTCAATTGTATGTAATAAATAAGAAACAAAAAAACTAAGCTGGAGCCAGTCTGCAGCAGCCAGCTTAGCATTGCTCTTCAAAACATCTCCTTTCCTGCTTTCCACAAAACGATGTTTGCATCCATCCATTACATTGTGACTCCATTTTAAGTGCTGCATCTTGTAGCTCTCTCTTTTTTTATTTTTTTTTTGGATGGTGCCACAAATATTTGGACATCATCTGTTTTGGAATTGCAGACCAGAGAGGGGGAAGCTGCTTTGGGGGCAGCTTGGATGTCGGGTACATACGCACAGCACATTAATGCTAAAAACACAGCCCCGCGTTCTGACCGCTGTCAGCTTTAATTGTGTTTTTCCATTTGTTAAGGCCAGATATTGTGTCTTCGGAGCTGAGGAAAACTGAGAGGAACTCCATGATCGTTCTGGGGCAAAATACAAAGAATGAAAACATATGGCCTTTCTGATAACCCAAGTCAAATGGAACAAGGTAAAATAAGTAAAGCAGCATGTGTTTCTTTGTGGGTTGGGGATATTTTTTTTTGCCTTTTCTCAGCACAGTCCTGTTCCTTCATCCAGACGTGCTCCAATATGCAAAAATGGGAACAGGTCAGATTTTTGAAATTCAAATTAAATGCATTTATGCCAGCTGAGGACTGGTTCATATACTTTCATTTTAATAGTCCCCCACTTTTTTTTTTTTTTTAAATCCACAATTTAAAGGCATCTGTAGTTGTATGGGCTACTTTTTACAAAAGTACAGCAGCAAATTCATTTAGCTGCAGTCAGCCAAAAAGATTCCCAAATAACAAGCCAACCAAGAGTCTTGGGAAAGAGACAATCTGCCCATAATAATAAGACTAAAAGAGAACCAGGCTCAGCCCATGAGGGAAATACAGAGAAGCCCTTTCTGACCTCTCATACTCACCACATGCTTCTGTTTCAGAAAGGCAAGAGTGGAAACACCAACGGACACAAAACCAAGGATCCTGGGGTTACTTTGTGCAACCTGCATCCTACGGTTGTCAAGGGAGTTAACTACGGTTTGGGCGTTGGAAGGGAAAGAGGGAAGGGGGAGGTTGAGAAGGGTCTGTGGACAGATGCGTGCTCGGCTACGTACGGCTTCGCTCCTGAAACTGAAAAATACTTCTAAAAGTCAAGCCACGGATAAAAAACTACTGTTAGCATCTTGGCAACACGGCCAACAGAGACTTTTAAGCAAGATTTGGAAATTCTTCCTCCTCCTCTCCGGATTAGGAAAAGAATTACCTGAAACACTGAAGCTTTTAAGTTATCATTGCTTTCTGGGGACCTTCTCCAACTGAAATAAACTTCGCCTTTATGGGACACAGCAGCATCTAGAAGAGTGCCAGGGAGTGCCTGCCCGGTGCAGAAGCAGCTGTCGGAAGGACAATCTCCTCCCTCTGGGGTGGGGAGGTAATGAGTTGCAGTCTCTGCTTGTCCCCAACACATCTCCTCCCTCCAGAGCATCATCTGGCCAGCTTTGCCATTTTACTGGAATCCAACAGGAAAACCAAGTCTGTAAAACCAAGACTTCCTGCAAGGCCATTCCTGAATCCACCACTACCTTTTAATCCTTCTGCAGAGGCCCCTTGACTCCAGGGCTTCCCAATGCAGAAGTTGGCATCCTCTGGGCTCATGGCAGAGACCAGATCAAGGGGCACTGCAGGAATCAGCCTTTTGAGAAGCTGGGAGGTACCTCCAAGGCAACACCTGAGCTTCACCAGGCAGCCCAGCCCCTGTGCTATCCATCTTTTTGGTGGTGGTGGGGAACCAGGCTTGAATTCTTACTTTTAAGCTAAAAGTTAAGTCCCCTGGCTGTGCAGGTGGGGGCCTGGGGCTGCAGGTGGGGTAGTCACCTTGCTCTATGTATGGCTCAGCCTGTACTCTCTCTGCTGAAAAAGGCAAGAGGGCAAGCAGAGCTGCAAGGAAGCGTTATTCAAATACATACAACCCTTACAAGGGGGTATGTATACAAGCTGCATGCTACAAGGCCATGTTTGGTGGCTGCCTTATTGCCACATGCCCACCAATCTGGACTCAAGGGACATGCTTCTGAAGGTTCCATGGCTGCAGTGGTCGCTGCACACCAGCTCTTACTGGTACTAGCACAATAATTAACATACATGGAGTCAAGATTTAAATAAGCCAACTTTGCCTCTTATTAAAAGATTATACTACCCCCTAAATGTAATTACAAGGCAGTTTAAAAATCCCTCCTCAACCCAAACTTGCCTTGGAATCAAGATTTGAGAAGCTGGCAGGAGTGGATCAGCTGCAGCAGGCTTAGCCTGTCAGTAGCAGATGCTTACCCCTTGCTCACCCAGATCAGCTGGAGCCCTTGGGGTCCTCAAAACCAGAGCAGGATCTCTTCTGAGATGCAAAACACCCCAACCACACTCTCCCAGGGCAGCTATAGGTTGCAGGGGTGAGTGAAGGCAGCAGCCCAGGCCTGGTACTCCAATACTCAAAAGGGCTGTTATTAAGCACCTCCAGAAAGGAAAAAAAAACAAAACAAAAACCCCACAAACCCCAATTTAAAAAAAAAATATAAAAATGGTCTGTGCTAACTCAAAGTTAGCACCCTAAAGTAGGTGCTGTGTTCAATATTTCAGATGTAGCTGCTGCAGGACTTGGTTATTCACTGTATATCTTGCTAGCTTCATCCAAAGCTAGAAAGATTTATAACTTGATTATTCTGTGAATAGTCTGTATATCTCCATAAATACAGGGGACTAAAATCCTGCATTAACTTACACCCTCCATTATCCCTCGAGCTTTACAGAGACTGTAAGGAATGTGAATCAATGCAAACTGATTTAAAGTGTTTTAAGACATAGCATCATGAACCGGTATTCCCCACCACCTCCATTCATATTATAGGCTTATTGGTTTGTTTGTTTAAACTAAAATGAACTAGCACTCTTTTTTATTACAGCATTATATGAAATATATTCATGTATTTTCAGAAATAAATATATTTATAACGTGTAACATACTGTATAGTTCTCCACTCCAGGATGCATTGTAACACAAGCATAAGAAATTTAATAAAAGCATCACCATTATAGTAATCATTCCCAGATATTTTATTAAAAAACACCTGGGTTGTAGTATAGCAACTGCCACACATTTAAGGTTTCAGGTGAGAACAGCTGGTCGAGAAAGGAATTGTTACCTCCGAGCTTTGAAAGAACTTCTTTAGCTCTGGCGAGGAAGCGGGTTTGTTCTTTTGAGGCTGGTGCTGTTCTCCGAGACCCAGAGGGTGAGGAGAGCCTTTGGAAAGTTCAGGTACAGCTGAGTGTGGATGTTCACTCCAAGCAGCCCTTCGTTGGGTGCTGTTGCTGGGCTTTGCTTCCAAAGCTCCAAGCGTGGATGTTCACTCCGAGAAGCCCTGTGTTAGGTGTTGTTGCTTCCAAAGCTGGAGAGTGGCTGGACACGGGAGGGCAGCACACACCACCTCCAAAGGCTTCACCCATTCCACCGCCACGGAAAGGGTGAAGACACTGGGGACAAAGTGTGCTGATGCTCAGCATCGGGGTTTCTTTCTCAAAATCTGCTAATTCATTCATTAGCAGCACTGGCACGTTCCACCGCCACGGAAAGGGTGAAGGCACTGGGGACAAAGCGTGCTGATGCTCAGCATCAGGGTTTCTTTCTGAAAATCTGCTAATTCATTCATTAGCAGCACTGGCAGGTGCTGGCTGGCCTCAGGGCTCCTTCTCCTCGGCTTCTCCTTCATTCACAGCCCACAGCAGCCTCCTGGACACAGCTGCTTTCCTTCACCTGCAGGAGTCTAAGCCAACATCTGTAGCAACCCACACCACCTTTAGTTCAGCTGTGTAACCAGGCAGCATGGAGCTAAGTTAAAAAGAGGGTGCTGACAAGAGAAATCACACGCACTTACTCCAAATACAGTGAAGGAGAAAAGTCAATGAGACCCAACTAAAGAAGGTAGAGGCTTAGAAAGAAACCCAAAAGCCAGAAATCCACCTGTGAAGGTAGAAGGAAAAGAGTACACATCTGCAGGAAAAAACTGCAGAACAAAGCAGCAACGAAGCCCTGGTGGAGAAAGAGAACAGGCTACGTCCTAGGACAACACACCAGAGGAGGAAGCCTCCATGTTGCCTGGGTTTCGCCTTGTGGCAGTGCTTCACACAGGCACCTCGCACCCCACTGCTGTTTGTGCCCTTCTCCTCCTGCTGGGGACCAAACGGTGAGCTTTAAGCACTGGATCATAGAATGGTTTGGGTTGGAAGGGACCTTCAAGACCATCTAGTTCCAACCCTCCTGCCCTGGGCAGGGACACCTCCCACCAGACCAGGTTGCTCCAAGCCCCATCCAGCCTGGCCTTGAACCCCTCCAGGGATGGGACAGCCACAGCTTCTCTGTGCAGCCTGTTCCAGTGTCTCACCACCTTCACAGCAAAGAATTTCTTCCTGAGATCTAGTCTAAATCCCCCTCTTCCAGTTTAAAACCGTTCCCTCTCAGCTCATGGCTCCCCTCCCTGATCAAGAGTCCCTCCCCATCTCTCCTGGAGCCCCTTTAGGGACTGGAAGGCTGCTTTTAGGTGTGCCCAGAGCCTTCTCTTCTCCAGGCTGAACAACCCCAACTCTCTCAGCCTCTCCTCATAGCAGAGGTGCTCTGATCATCGAGAAGACTCCTCACAGAGTGGGTAAAGGAATTAACTTCACTTCTCCGCTCACCTACCTCCACTTATCACTGCATGTGCCCTGTGCTAAGCAGCAGGTCCATCACAGCAGGATGAAATTCAGCTCCACACCAGAAGGAACAATCCCTGCAGGGGAATCTACCTGATCCCCAGAGGTCCCTGCCACTTTGGAGCAGTTCAGTAACCCCACAGAGGGCAGCAGGGACTTTCCTTTTCACCCCTTCTGCCTCCACACAGGTATCTAAGCTCTCCAAGCAAATATTTTTGCCTGCTTTACTGAGGCATGGGAAGAATCCAGCAGCAGCCAGGAAGGTGTTGAGATCTTGGCTAACACACACACACACACACATCATTAAGGACAGTGCCAGAGCACCCTGCCTAGTGTACTGGAAAGGTGTGGTCTATATTGCTCCTTTAATTGCCCAGTTAATTAACATTAAAGACAGCTGCTAAAGACTTGTCATAAGGCACATTATGAGTATACACCCTGCTTTCTCAGGCAGAGCTCCACCTGCATCAAGGCCATTTCGTTGCCAGAGGCACTCCCTCAAGGAGGAGGCTGTTTTGACCTATCTCCAGCTGATGGTTTCTCCAGCCTGTGACCTCCTTCACACTCCCACCCTAGAACCTGAGGAGCCTTATCTTCTTCTGATTAGATTTTAAAAGCAGGCCAGACTGAGGGCACTGGTTATTCTGGAAGTAATGCAGTTTCTGCTAGAAAAATAAAAACATTGTAAGATGATTCCTGAAACTTCTTGTTAGAGCAAGAGAGGAATTAAAAAGTAGTTCCCACCACCTGTTAACACCTTCCAATCACACAGTATTGGCAGAAGCCAATTGAATAGAACAGTATCTGCTACCCCAAGCAAGATACTGTTCAGTTCTTTGCTTCCATGTATATAAGAGCTACTCTTCCCCTTGACAGACCCCTAAAGCAGTATGATTTAGACTACTCCCCTGTCTTTTAACAGGGAGAATTTCTAATCTATTTCAAGGAGGGAAAAAAGAGAAAACCCATATTTTTTCCTTCCCCTCAAACGTACTTGCTCAAAGACTCTCCATCAGCTATAAAGGGATCTCAGTGTGAGCGCAAGCACCAGCCTGAGCAGCAAAGGGGGTTGTGGAGCCCCTTTCCCCCCCTCCACCACCAGAAGAGGTTTGCTTGATTGCTTTTGCCCAGGACCTGAAGAAGCTGAAAATAATCCTGCTCAGCTGCTGTGACTGACCACACCACACTGAACCACTCCTGATGCTCTTAAGTTTTATTTCTCATCTCAAAAAAAGCACATCCATGTCACTGTTGTGCCAACAGTGGTGTCAAATTAGCTTTCATCTGAGAGCTTTGAAGACTCCTAACTGTCTGCTCTCACATGAAGGTTTAAGAATAATCTTTAAATCAAGTTTTAATATTTTCCTGAAGTTCAAACCACCCAGGCCCTTTGATTTTTTTATTTCAGTTGGAATGAAGTTTCCAAGTTCTCATCATACAGGAAAAAATTCCCACCTGCCCTTTTTTTTGTGTTTGTTTCCAGAGCTAGAGAGGTAGGTTTATGTACAACATCATTAGGAAGGCCCATTTGTGTAGTGCTTCACCATCCCTGCTTTTGAGTCCTGCCACATGAACACAGCCCTGACTTATCTACTGAGCTCAGGGGCGAGTGGGCAATTCCCAGCTTCTCTCCACAGTCAGATACCAGCTCTGCATCCCCAAAGGAGAAGCAGCTGTAGGATTTGCTTTCAATGAGTTTTGCTGCACTTCTACTCAGTGCTTGAGAGGAGGCACACTGAGTGCTTTTGAAGGCCACCTCAGCCACTGACAGAAGTGCAGACACCACCCAGCATCACACTGGTCTCAGTCTGCAGCTTCCTGGGAGCCCAGGCTATGATGAGGACTCCTTAACAGCAAGAGGCAGTTAACACCAATCCCAGAGCAGAATAACAGCCAGAAAAAGAGACAGATTCAAAGAAACAGCTTTTGGAAAGCTCTCTCACAGCCATCAGGATTATTTTTGTCCTGCAAACAAAGGTTTACAGCCAGGGTCCCTGACAGTTCTGTTCCATGCCAGGGAGAAGGAGTCCCAGAGCCCAGGTGGGTTTGACAGCCACTTTATTGCAATACATTGATTTCATGCGTTACAGGCACCTTCCTTTGCCACAGCACAGTGACCACAAGCACCACACACAAGGCTGCCCCAGTTGCCACAGCAGCAAACATCAGAGCCCAGGGGGCTGCAGCTGCTCCTGTGGGGGGAGAAAAGCCCCAGTTAACACTCCTCCACTAAGGAACAGGGATGCCCTAAGGGCTCAGTCTTTCTGCTGGGAAAGACTTAGACCAGTCCCCTTCCCCAGCCTAGCTATGCTGGGCTGGCACCCTTACCAAGGCCATCCTGGGCTGTGTCCCATCTTAACTCATCCTGGAGGAAAATCACAGGGCCTTCACTGGAGACATGGGAGGCAGCATCCTGAAGAGGATGCTCAGCGCTCCTTTTACCCCCTACAGAGCAATATGAAGGTTTTTGGTGAGAAGACATATAGAATCCTAGGATTGTCTAGGTTGGAAGGGACCTTTAAGATGAGAGTCCAACCATCAACCCAACGCTGACAAAACCCATCACTAAACCACATCCCCCAGCACCATGTCTACCCATCTTTTAAATACCTCCAGGGATGATGATTCCACCACTTCCCTGCGCAGCCTGTTCCAATGCTTGATAACCCCTTCAGGTGTAGAAATTTTTCCCTAATACTCAATCTAAACCTCTCCTGGCACAACTTGAGGCCATTTCCTCCTGTCCTGTCACTGACAGGAAACTTTGTCCAGGTCAGGCTTTCAAAACTTGAGAAGGCCAAGCCTTCCATGCGAGTCAACACAGAACTAGGAGCCTATGAAGACCTCTGCCTTTTTGGCATAAGGGCAAGGGCCCTTCCTCAGTGAAAAGGAGCACAAAGTGCCTTGTCAAGCTGTCCATGGCTTGAGGGAATTAGTCCATAGCCTACATGTCCCCCTAGCCCCCAACTTGGAGGGTAGACCCTTGTCGCCCCTTTGGATGGGGATAGCAGGAAGGCTAAGGCACTTACTGGCTCTAGCAGGACAAGTGGTGGTGCAGGACTCCTGTACAGACCGGTGGCACACTGAGGCACTGCAGTGCAGGTACACCTAGAAAGAACAGGAGACAGCCTGGAATCACTCAGGCAGTGTCTGGGGACAGGCAATATCCTGGTGTGGGTGACCTGACCCTGGCCAGCAGCCAAGCACCCATACAGCTACTTCCTCACTCCCTCTACCCCAGCAGGGTGGGGAGAGAATAAGAGCAAAAACAAGAAAAGCCATGGCTGGAGAGATAAAGAAAGTTTGATATGTGAAGGAGAAGGGGAGAGGGAAGAACAAAACCAAAGCAGAAG